TTTTTACACTTAATGCCACCCTTTTCAGTGGAAATAGCTGGCAAGTAGTGGCAAATCTAGGGACGGGATTAGCAAAACTTCACCATGAATTTCTAAGTTGAAAAAGGGGAGAAAAATCAGCCTAAATGCAAGATAGAATTATGGATCTTTGTCAGTGACCTACAATTATGACCCTAAATGCATATGTGAAGTTTTAAATAAATATCTTTAATATTTATTGAGATATGTAAAACTTGCATGTAAACATTAACCAAGAGACTAAGTAGAAAAGGGGATATGAATCAGCCTTAATGCAAAATAGAGTTATGGAACTTGGTCAGTGACATACAATTATGACCCTCAAATTATCACCCTAAGTGCATGTGTAAAGTTTCAAGTAAATATCTTTGAAGACCTTTAACCTTTAAGAAAAATTTCTAAGTTTCAAAGGGGCAAATAATTCTGCAAATATTGCAGGCAGAGTTATGCAATTTTGCAAACTGATGAACATTGTTACTATAAAAAAGTATTTTAAATTTCAATTGAATATCTCAAGCAATAATTGAGATATTTGACTTAACAAAAAAACTTTAACCAAAATTTCTAAGTTCCAAAGGGGCATAATTCTGTCAATATTGTAGGCAGAGTTATCCAACTTGTCAATCTGATGTACCTTGTTACTATAAATAAGTATTGTAAGTTTCAATTGAATATCTCAAGCAATAAATGAGATATTTGACTTTACAAAAACTTTAACCAAAATTTCTAAGTTAAAAAGGGGCATAATTCTGTCAATATTGTAGGCAGAGTTATCCAACTTGTCAATCTGATGTACCTTGTTACCAGAAATAAGTATTGTAAGTTTCAATTGAATATCTCAAGCAATTATTGAGATATTTGACTTTACAAAAAACTTTAACCAACGCAGACACCGACGCGGACGCCGACGCCGGGGCAACTACAATAGCTCTCATATTCTTCGAATAGTCGAGCTAAAAAGGATTTCCGAAAACCAATCTTGCAGTCTTGGAACATATTATTATCAATCTTTTAATTTGTAAATCGTTCTTTACATTTGTATTTTTTAATTTAGAAAATATCATCAATTTTTAACCTCCACCATGCTACATTTCTCTGATTCGAAAAAAAAAGAAAGTTTTTTGTCTAAATAAAATCACATGAAGACAATTTATAAATCACCAAGCCTAATATATAAGCGTTTTGTTGTGTGTTTTTTAATGTTGTTATTAATATCTTATTACCTTCTAAAGCTGCTGTAGTGTCAGTGGCAGCTAAAATGATATAAATAAACATATTTTATCATATCTGTCAATAATCCCATCTACAATTGATTTATGTACTATATTGTCCTACATGTATATATTTCCAGACTTGACATAATAGTACATGTATCTTATTAGTTCTCTTCTGACAAAAACTTAAAGTTTCTAGAATGCAGAAATGTGTTGGGCTGATAATGACAATGTTAAATTAACTTATTAAGATCTTTCTAATATTGTTAGCCTTAACCTGCTAAATTTTGTATATGGACTATATGTATGTATCCTAGGCTTAATGAGGGTCCATCTGCCCTTTCAGGCACTGACAGTACTGACCCCTGACATGTCAACATTCATGCCCTTAAATGTTATTATCAACCAAAAGGTGACATATAAATTTTGAATTCAGTAATTCACTGAATGATACTATGTACCATATGTATGCATGTCGATTTTTGTGATGATACTATCTATATATGTATATGAACTTGTCCAGCTTCCACCTTTTAAGACTGTCCAAAACCAATTATGGGGATGTCAGGTTGACAGTTTTTTTTAAGTTATTCAGCAAACAGTATAGAGCCTGGTCAGACTGCACGGATGTATGGACTGATCTGGCACTATTATAACTTATGGAAAAAAGGTTAAGGAATTTGGGTTTCAGCAAGGTAAGGGCTAAATAAATATAAAAATCATTCATTTTTAAATACTAACCATACATGTGCTCTTCCTTAATTACTTAACTGGATTCATAATCCTTTTTTTAAGCATTTGTGAATAGAAATTAATTTTTCTATGCTTAAAGCAATTAAAGGAATGGGTTTTTTTTTAACTAAACATGGGTAAAAATAATAATAACATTTGCATAAAGTAACAAAACAAACTGAAATGAAGAAATGAAATAAACATTTAAATAATAGAACTTAACAAGTTCAAAAGTAAATTTAACTGAAATGAAAAACTTACAAAAACAAAAATACAAAAAAAGGCCACAACAGAAAAAAATCTTGATCATCCGATATTTTAAGTTAGGTACTGGTACTCAAGTAAAATGTTACATTGTATGTCCAAGATTTCATATTGGAGTGGCCAAAACAATTATTTTGTAAGCAAAACTGAACAATTTACAGCTAGGTCTAACTTACCCTAGCTGAATAAAACACAAACTTTATTAAGAAAATCCATCCATCAATAGATGCAGGTATCAAAATTATATCAAGATATGAAAAAAAAAATCCATACAAGCAGACAGTGTTTCCCTTTTTTGTTTTGTTCTTTTTATATGTTTGGTAGATAGATCCATTGTTCAAAAGCCTAGGAATGAGTATTTTTATACAAGAGGGCCATGATGGCCCTGAGGTCGCTCACCTGTATATAGCCCCCCCCCCCCCCGGCCCAATTTTTACCCAAGGGCTTTTATTTGTTTATTTGAACAGACTTGGTAGACACCCATAAGAAGATGTTTCATGCAAAACATCTAAGTTCTAGCTCATTGGGTTTTTTAAAAGAAGATTTTTTAAGTTTTTACTATACACATAGAGTAAAAAACAATGACACCCCTCGGGCAGGGCCAGTTTTGACCCCTGGACTTTTATTTGAACAAACTTTGTAGATATTTACTTAAAGATGTTTCATGCTTAATATCTAAACTCTAGTTATTTGGGTTTTTTCAAAGAAGATTTTTAAGTTTTTGCTATGTATATAAGGAAAATCAATGACCCCCGGGCGGGGCCAGTTTTGACCCCAGGGCTTTTATTTGAACATACTTGGTAGACACCCATTAGAACATGTCTCATGCTAAATATCTTAGCTCTAGCTCTTTGGGTTCTTTAAAAGAAGATTTTATAAGTTTTTACTATATGCATATAAGGAAAATCAATGACCCCTGGGGAGGGGCCAATTTGGACCCCAGGGGTTTTATTTGAACAAACTTGGTAGACATTCACTAGAAGATGTTTCATGCCAAATATATAAGCTTTAGCTCTTACAGTTCTTTAAAAGAAGATTTTTTAAGTTTTTACTATATGCATATAGGGAAAATCAATGACCCCCCGGGGCGGGGCCAATTTTGACCCCAGGGCTTTTATTTGAACAAACTTGGTAGACACTCACTAGAAGATGTTCCATGCCAAAAATCTTAGCTCTAGCTCTTACAGTTCTTTAAAAGAAGATCTTTTAAGTTTTTACTATATGCATATAGGGAAAATCAATGACCCCCCGGGGGCGGGGCCAATTTTGACCCCAGGGCTTTTATTTGAACAAACTTGGTAGACACTCATTAGAAGATGTTTCATGCCAAATATCTAAGCTCTAGCTCTTAGGGTTGTTTAAAAGAAGATATTTAAAGATTTTTCTTTCGGTTGCCATGGCAACCAGAGTTCTGCATGGAATTAAATTCTTTGAACAATTTTTAAAGGTGACCACCAAAGGAACATTCCTGTGAAGTTTGGATGAAATTGGCTCAGTGGTTTATGAGGAGATGTCATTTAAAGCAAAAGTTTACGGACGGACGACGGACGGACGGACGGACGCCGGACGAAAAGCGATCACAAAAGCTCACCCTGTCACTTTGTGACAGGTGAGCTAAAAAATATGGGGTGTCTTATTATCTATCACCACTGCTGGCACTCAGATGGTTAAAGCCATTGAAAAACATAGTACATGTACATGTATTATCAATATAACAATTCAATGTGAAACTTTGATATTGGAACAATCCCCCCCCCCCCCAAAAAAAAAAAAAAAAAAAAAATTATTTAGCAACTATGATATTTTGGATACTGAAAATCCTGATTCCAGGAAAAAAATCCTAAAAAGATTTCTTCAAATTTCAAATGTTAATTAAAATTAATGCCCATTATTGCTGACTGAAATCAAAGTAAGTGATTTATGCACTTGTTGATAGATGGATCCCCTTATTTAAAAAAATTGTAGGCATACCCTCACACTCAAGAAATTTGTCATCAAAGAAAGGAAAATCTTCTATATATTGCACTGACAGAAAGGTAAACCAACAATATAAGCAAGCATATAAAAATATAAAATAATCCTAGAAATGACATGGGGCTTCATCTATAAAATCTATGTTACAAAGCCAGAGTATTAAATTCTAATTTTGAAAGTAAACAAGCAATTATCATAGTATTGCAAGCAATCCATAAGTCCCCTACCGGTAAGAGCCCAAGCAATATTCTGAAGGGCCATTCACTCAGGTTCCTATTTTAAGTAAATTTGTTGAAAAAGTTCTTTAAAAGTGATCACAGGAAACAGTTTTTATGTACAGACAGACGGACTGAAGGACACTCTAAAGTTATTTTTTAAACATCCCTGTTATCAAAATATAACATTTTTAAAATCCTATCATGATTGAAGAAGTTGGAGTAAAAATTACCAATTTCTCAAAAAAAAGTCTAAGTTCAAAAGGGGCATAATTCTGGAAATAGTCTTGCTAGAGTATTGAACACTCACAATTGTTGAGTGATAATAAGAAACATTTATATTAAGTTTGAAGGAGATACATTCAGAGAAAGAAGTTATTAAAAAAAAACAATGTTTTTTTCATGAAAATATTAAGTTCAAGGGAGGTAATTCTGATAAATTTTGTACTAGAGTTGTAAACCTTGTCACATAAGATGTGGTTGATGACAAGCAACTTATATTTAAAGTTTGAAGAAAATACCTTAAGAAATAAAGAACTGATAGTGAAAAAACTTAAAAACTAGAATAAGAAATCTTGAAATTCAGTCAATTTGTTGCCATAGCAACCAGAATTTTCAACATAGGAAGATTAGAAAAGGATATGCATAATTTCCATACTGCCATCTACCCATATGTCAAGTTTCATAAACATATTTTCAGTACTTTTTGTGTTATCACTGGATCCAGGTTATGTGTAAAATTTGCCATATTTTCAGTCTATTTGTTGCCATAGCAACCAGAAATTTCAACATAGGAAGAAAAGAAAAAGACGTGCATAATCTCCATACTGCCATCTATCCATATATCAAGTTTCATAAAAATATTTTCAGTACTTGTTGCGTTATCGCTGGATCCAGTGTATGTGTATGTGTAAAATTTGTCATATTTTCAGTCTATTTGTTGCCATAGCAACCAGAATTTTCAAAATAGGAAGAAAAGAAAAAGACGTGCATAATCTCCATACTGCCATCTATCCATATATCAAGTTTCATTAAAATATTTTCAGTACTTTTTGCGTTATCGCGGGATCCAGTTTTGTGGACGGACAGACTGACGGACGGACAGACGGACGGACGGACAGACAGACGGACAGACGGAGGGTAAACCTAAAGTCCCCTCCGGTAAACCAGTAGGGGACTAAAAATAATAAAATGTTAAATTCTGATGTCATGGTCATAGTCAGTATAACTGAGATTATTTTTTTTAGTAAAATATTAATGTTGTAAAAGATAATTGGTTCACATGTGATGTAGTTAGTATCTTAAATAAAAAATTACTGACTAACTTTACCGAAATTAGCAAAAAGCAGGTAAACCACCCTTGAACAAAATTACATGTGAACTATTTTTATTTTATTCATGATTAAAGTCCTAATTGATTAATTTATGATTGAAGATTAAAACCTATAACCTAGAGCTGTCATCTATATCGACAATATCGATGTATCGTTGATATTTTTTTGTCGATCAATAATTGATACACATTTTAAAAAATCGATACTTTTGACTAATAAATTAAATGTCTAGATATTATAAAATTCACCCAAAATATATACAGAAGCAGTTATTTATATCTAATGTTATGCTTTTGTTATATAGTGGAATTATTTCATAGCAATGGTGACAAAAAATATTGTCTGGAGAAAATCATGCAGTGGACAAGACACTGTACAGAACATGTTTTTGACTGAAATCATTGAAACAGGTATGAAAGTGAATGACAGACAAGTGAGTATAGGATATTATCGATATATCGGGTGTATCGTTGATTTTAGTCACTTGATATCGATATATCGATAATATGCTTTGCACTGAATCAATGACAGCTCTACTATAACCTATAAGTAAATTATCACAAGCTCATTTACTACCAATAGGTATTGTAACTGGGTTTATATTGACCAAATATTAACACAACCTGTGATAATGACAAGACTGAGATAAAATTAAATATATGTATTTACCTTCCTCTGATTGGACAGCAGACTTAAGTCTTTCTAGAAGTTCACTTTTAGTGCCAGTCAATGGTAAACCTCTCTCTTTCAGTGCTTTCTTCAAATCTGCAACCTAAAATGATAGTGAAGATGACACTTGGGTGATTCCAGCTTTTTAGAAATTAATGTGCACAATTATCACTTTTGACAGGGGTGTTTTGCTAGATTACAGCACTCATGACACAGACAGTATAGCATATCTTCAAACGCTTTTCACAACTTGACAAGAGTGAAAATTTTGAAAAAGTGGTTGGTCAACTTTTCGTTTTGTGATTAACAACACACAGAAATTTCTCTTGAATAGTTCTACAAAGTTGATAAAAACAGTGTCTATTCTAGAAATTCAAAAATTGGGGTGAATTTCCCCATCCTCTCATTAAAAAATATGGGGAATTTTAAAAAACAAGGGTGCCAATATAAAGTGTAATTGCATAAAATTAATGCTGTTTTTATCAAAACAAGACTTGTCTTTTTTTTCTAAAAAAATTGAAAGGTAGAGCTCTAGATTGTATTTAAAAAAAACAACAAAAAAACCCCCCAAAAAAACCCTGATCAGTCACCCTCATATTCAGGCGTATTTTGAAGTTAAATATGTATTAGTGTTAACAGTTATGCATATATTAGTGTAAGTGTATCAGAATGTGCATCAACCGCCCGGCAACAATGATGCTTGATCAACGCCGGGTTTACGTAGGAAATATATTATTCTTACTATGCTTTACGGTAATGCGAGTACCTGCTAGATAGTGATGGTTTTAAAAACTTTGGTCTGATGTACTGAATTGACACATCACAACTTTTCGAATTAAAAGATAATGATAAAAGCCGAGGTATTCTGATTTAAAATGGAAGAGTGAAAATGGAAGAGTAGACTGGTGTCCTGCGAACTTATATTGGAACCATAATAAATGGAAGCAGTGTATAAAATACCGAATGACAAGTTTTAAACGGAAAATGTGAAATATAAAATTTAATGAAAGATTATTTTATACTATTTCACAGTAAATGTAAATCGAGCTGGCTTTGAGGTTTTGCCTTCTTCAAGTTCATATTCTGTTCTGTTTGTTTTGATTACCACTATTTTAGCCTCATTCTATTACAAAATCATAATTTAATTATTCAATTTATCTCAAGATTATTCCTTTTATTCATCCATTTATTGAAATGCTATTAAAAGTCTGGTATAAAACACATACAGGTAAGGCTTATTCTTAATCAAATATGGTGCCGATTTGATAAAGGGCTGAAACGTCCGGGGCCGAAACGTCTAGGGTAATTTGAGACCGATACGTTTAAGGTCTTGGGGCCGAAATGACTCGAAATCGTTTGTTTTATATCATACCCCACCCACGAACGAATGTCAGACGTTTCACTCCCAAGACATTTCACTATTGAGACGTTTCACTCCCAAGACGGTTCACACCTAGACGTTTCACTCCCATTTCGTCAATTGTATGGACGTTTCACTCCCATTTTTTAGATGTTTTTATTAAGAAAATTTATTTTCATTATGAAGGGGAAATTCAATTTAATGATTCATTTTGTTGAATTTGAGAGTATTGTTAAGAAGAATTTATGAATTTGAAGAATGATTATAAAAGTATAATTTTTCTGAAATATAACAGAATGTGTAAATAATTATGATCTATACAGTATAGTATCAGCTCAGAAAAGTGAATTTTGTTCCGTTTAAACAGTGTTTTGAAGAATTCCTGTTAATTATTAGGAGTAAAAATGTTGGTTTCAATGAGGACATAATTATGATGAATTATTAGAAGATTATCATTATACTCATTTAAATATGGGTTGAATGATAAGAGGTTTAAATGAAAGACAAATGTCTGAAATATCGTTTTTATTATAAGAGTAACAACATGAGAAAATTCTATTTATAATAAATCAAGAAAGATAATAGAATAACAAAATGAAAATGTTCATGAACAACAAAGACAGATTGGAATATTGAAACCACTACCAGTACAGTAATTAATTAATATCAATATATAAAATACATTTAGTTGTTTATTGGACCATTGAAATATTTTTAGACAATGTTCAGCCAATTGAAACCAAAGTCATGGAAACAGAAACTCCTCCATAAAATTTGGTTATACATTTTAACAAAAATAAAATAATATTTAATCAGATAATCATATGTAATATATTATGTAAGATTATCATAATCTACAGATATTTTTTACTTATTGATATAAAAATATATAAACTTAATTCAAAGAAAATCACTTATAATTATTTTCATTAACATCTTTAGAGAACTGCAACTTTCATACAATTATATCCGGTCATATATGATATCCTTCTCTAAATAAGAATAAATATCTGAAAAGATATCAGATCAAAGATCTCTCTAATCAAGTAAAAAATAAAACTTTAACAATTATGACATACAAACTTTCATTTTTAGTAAAATTAAGGTATATTGTAGTATATTAAAGTATCAAAATAATTTTGGTATAAAATGGGAGTGAAATGTCTTCAAGACGTTTCACTCCCATTTGGGAGTGAAACGTCTTGGTGTGAACCGTCTTGATGTGAACCGTCTCAATAGTGAAACGTCTGTCTACCCCCACGAACTTTATTCGTAAACACGAGTTTTCACCAGAAATATCGGGTACCACTATTGAAAATAATTGTTAGATTTATACTCTAAGACACTTTTTATTCAACATTGTTAACCAGTGTTACAAGTTACAATTTATGTAATTTTTATAAATTCGATTTACCTTCATTTTGCCGAAATCTTCCGCTGAGATTTTGTCCGCCATTGTTGCTGTTGTTGTTGTTGTTGTAAGCTAAGGAAATATCCGTACTAACCCGTTTCGTTACCGGAATCAACTTTCGACCAATATAAAACATCTTGCTTTTTTCACTAAATAAGGCATAAATAAATGGAATTGACTTCCAGTAGTTCCTCTACGAATTTATTTTTCATTTTAATGGAATTATTTCGAATTATTTCCCTCATGTCAAGTCACAGGTATTTTATTTATAAAATCGTATACATATTTATAGTACGTTTAAGGACGGACTTAAGACACGGTTAAAGGGGGATCACTACCACAATCTAAAATATGCCAACAAATAATTTTTTTTCTGCAAGAAATTCACCAACACGCAATCGTTTGATTTGGTAATTTATTTATATTTATTTCAACCCCAATGATTATTATTTTACATGATTAAAATTCCTTTTAGACGTACAGTATCCCGATACAGTATACAACTTGAATTTGTAGCAAATAATTTTTTGCACAGGTGGAAACGTACCACTGCTTTGGACGTTATGCACCACATATATAGAAATAATTAATAAAGGGATAATAAGGTGTAACTTATAAAATTATAAATTATTGTTAAATTTGGGCATTAAGCGATTTTTTGTATTTTTTATTATGATATTATAATGATAATATTTCATAGTTTGTAATTTGTTTGTTTGATTACTCATTTCTGACTGTGTGATAATCATTCATAGATACAGGTAAACTTATATTGCCATTTAAGATTGCTTTGATATGTCTTTTCAGAAATAAATAATATTAATGAAATAGTTTGTTTATTATTTTTTTTATTATAATTATTAAGCCATAGATATTTACTCTGTATATATTTCATAGAAATTAGATGAAAATATATCAATGGTACATATATACTTCAAAATATATATTTGGTACGTAACCTTCAAAAATGGTACGTAACCTGGTAAGTAACCGCCACTCAGTCTCCAGTGATCGCTAAGTCTAGTCCATTTCAGACTTACTACGGTTTGTGATATTGTGCTATTTTGTGTATGGGCAATAATTAATAAAATATCAGCTCTAAAATCAAACAAAAATATCTCAGAATTATGTTAAAAATTTTTTGGGGGGTCAGACCCAGTCAACGGTTTGATCCTAGTCTTATAAATATGACATCGCTTTGAGATATTTTTGCTTCTGCCCAAAGCAATTACCTTATTGACCTTGACAAAACTGATGTGAATCATGCCCCTTGGTTCAATATTCAGCTGTCCCAGTTGTCACTTGATTTATATAGACTTATATAAGGAAAACACATTAAAGTCTTTAATTGTGTGAAACTCTAAAGCTCAGAGCTTAGCTATTTGCCATGTAGCGTAAATTTATGAATTTCTACAAAAGTTGTAACAATCATGACACTCGGGGGTCAAAATTGGCCCTGCCCTAGGAGGCACTTGCCTTATGTAGGAAAACACATTCTTATCTTTTTGTGGATAAAACCTATGCCTCTTTATCATGTTTATGTGGCAAAGTAGACTTCTATAAATGTTTTATGAATTGGTATTGTTTTATACATGGCATTGTTTTCTTAATTCTCCACACATATTAACCTGTAAAGGTCAATCTAGTAATCATTTGGTCAAACATTTTGGCAAGATGTGATATGCTTTATTTTACTACATGGCATGATGTTTGATGCTCAATGAATGAATAGCAGCATGCCAGATTCCTGGCATTATTGGTGGACTTTCCTTATGAGTCTGGCTTCAGCATAACCATCTTATCACAGTATAAAAACAGAAACACCGAAAATAGTAAGGTCATTTAGATATTATTTTAATGGTCGTAATCTCCAGAGAAGTTTCTTGTTGTATATTATACAAATATGGACTTTTTAGCTGGTAAATGTGATGTGATATGTACTGAAAAAATTAATATTGACCAGCTAAAAAGTATATATATTTGTTTTATTATATAATCCATAAATACTTTTAAATGGGATATTAAATCTGCCATTGAATACCACAGAAATCAACATTTTTCAGCTTGTCTACTTTTTCCATTATTTGGCTCCGACATTTTAATGAAACGCAAGGGCACACTACATACGAAATATTCTTAAAAATGTAGACGTTAACAATATTATAAAAAAATAGACTAATTTGACATTAATTTGCGAGTTGCCCAACGTTTTGTCAGAAAAATAACAACAAACTTGGCATGATGTCATGTTATAGCATGTGCCTTTTTAGGGTTTTCCAGAAAATCTATTTTTAGACAAATAAAAGGTGAATGTACTAGGAAAATCTGTTTGAGGAAAAAACAGTGATTATACTCTGATATTCACTAGTTATTTTTACAAAAAATTACATCTTAACCAATTGGAGAAAGTCATTTTAAAGCTATTTATAGTTCATACATGTATAATAACATGTGATAGCCTATATAAAATTATATTGATTCAACTGAACATATAAAAAATTGGATTTTATGCTAATCCACACCATAATGTGGCATGAATTTTAACCAATATTATTCAAGATATGATGTAGGGTTGCATTATGTGTCTTTTATGCAGATACAGGCTAAGGCCTTTTCCACTTTTTTTCTGAAAAGGTGCTTAGTTTATGAAGAAATATGTGTAAATTTCACATGAAATCTCTGCTCATGGCCATTTTCTAGTCGGTGTTACCTGTAAGACCTGTAACTATGTATCAGTCTTTATAGTATCACTTTTTTTCCGAAGCTGTACTTATTGTATATAACAAAATATGTCAATTGTTATTTTTGTCTTTTCAGATTATGAGTACCGGTATGTAGGTAAAATAAAATATCCCTGAACTGGGTTAATTCACTGATTGAAAAAGAACAAAAAAATTGTATTGATACAGACTATGCCATTAAGATGATAGAGGTTACAGCTATATTACACAGGGGGACAGTGTTCTTGGCAGGGGAGACCTTGCAGTGTGATATCACCTTCAAAAATAATGGACCAATCCAGTGAGTATTTTCAGTCTTCAAATACTTGAATAAAACTTAACAAGTGACGTGTTAAGGAAATAGTACAATTTGAGTGCAGTGTTGTAGAGTAACGAATGGTTCATGTTCAAATGCGTAGAAATATAATAACAGGGCTTTTTTTCACAGGTTGGGGAAGCAGCCCTGCCCTTAATTTTGGGGGAAAATTACACAGTATATTTGCAAAAGGGGAAGAAAAAACTTGATGTAAATTCAATTTTTGGGGAAAACTGCATGATTTTAAAGAATTTTTCTTTGGGGAAGCAGCCCTATAACGGCCCCTACTATAAAAGGAAAAAAAGCCCTGAATAATGAAAGCAATAGGCATGAGTGATTAATTACAGAGATTTTGAATGATAAACTATGCACTATAATTCATTATTCTTAAACACACTGAGCAGCATATTACATAAATTTTTTATTAAGTGCAATTCTAAACAAGGTAATGGAAACTGATATTTTTATTTAGCACTGTACTATTTTCTTTAGGAATGTAGTATACATACTGTACAACTTCTTTCAGAAATGTTGTCATCTTAAGTATGTGACTCATTCATAAAGGCAGAAAAATAGGGAAAAAATTTCTTTAATCCAATCCATACATACAGACACACAAATAAACAAACCTTTAAAATATGAAATATTTAATGTCTTTTATCTGTGAAATTTACATGTAAGTGAAAATCAAATGTTTTATTTTTACTTGCTGTCCATCCTAATTGTTTGGAATGAATTAGAGCCTCTTTACTTTGGAAAAAAATTGGATATTATAAGTTTGTGTTTAACTTTCTTATGAGTCATAATATTAGATATATTTCATTTGATACTGAAAATATCAGACAAAAAATTGATTAAAACTTTTTTATGTTATTGGACAAATTAGAGATATACTGGTCATGGTGGTGTGTACATTTCAATGTTTTGTTGTCAAAAAATTTGTCTCAGATTTTAGGGAGATTGTTCAAAGTTACGTGAATTTCATCATTCAAGATGATATACTATTATGTAGTTACTGTCTACGGCTCCTTTATTTTCACAGATATACATGTAGTCATGTCCTTTGCTGATTGTTATTGATACTGGTTTTTGTACATGATTCGTATTAAGAAATTGTACATCTTTTTCTCTAATGTTAATCATACTAAGGCGCTCATTATCTCCTGTGCAGCAGACGATCGCCGTGTTGCTCTTGGCCAGTACTAGTCCACTTGGTCGGTTCAAATTTTTAAATTCCGAATGAACAGTCAGGTTATCATTTATTTCCAGCTTATAGACTGTATTCTTCCCAAAATCTGAGACTAACAAACAAGTGCTATCATTTGTGAAGACAACACTACCAGGGAGTTGAAATGTTTCTGTATCTTGAATTTGGTGCAAAATTTTACCATTCAAATTGAGTACCTGAACTGTTGGTGGTGAGGTGAAGGTCACTGCTAGTAAACCATTGCTGTGATCAATTCCTCGGCAGTTCTTTCGCACTCTTAAAGTTCTGTCTAGCGTAAGGCCATTTTTTGTGTTCAGGAACAATATTTCACCAACTGTGGGTAAAGTCGCAGCAGCAGTTTCGAACGTGATAGTGGTGACGTCAAACGGTTTCGCAAACGATTTACACATGGAGGTTACCATATTTTCATTGATGTTGTAGATTTTCAGAGAACTGTTGGCATTATCAGCAAGCAGAATTTCATCTCCTGAAATCATGACCATCCCTGTTATGCAGCAATCATCTTCTACCTCCATTTGCACATTTACTTTACCAACAAGTTCTGACTTACTGAAATCACATTCTTCACTGTCTTTGTTATCAATATCCAAAGTTCCCAAAGGTCCTAGCTTCTCTTTTATTGTTGGTAAATCAGAGGAGGGTACAAACTTGTAAGTACTTATCTTTGTCTTTGAGACCACCACATCTTCAATTGAATCCCTGAAGGAGCACAATTTTTTATGTGCAAGCTTAGCTGTAGCAAATAAATTGTGAGCTTCAACTGAACTTTGATCAAGTTGTTCTTGATATTTGTTTATTTCAGTCGCTATGGTTTCACATTGGTTACATAGTTCGGTTTGATATTTGACATCATTGGCATGTATTTGTTCCACTTTTTGGAGGATTTCTTCTTCAGAAGCATTGATGTACTGTTTTAACTCGGCGTGAAATGTTTTAACTTTATCAACCTGGGTCTCCTTCAATTTCTCAGCATCGTTCAAAGATGAGAGTACTTCATGCCTGGAAGAAATAATTTCAGACATTAAATTATTCAACTCCTCTTTGATCTTGGCAAGTTCTCTGCTATTGTCATAGTTTCTGGACACGTCTGCAATGGGTTGCACCATGCAACCCAGATACTTTTTATGATAGAGATTCATACACTGCTCACATCCTACAGAATTGTGTCTTTGACAATAAAGCTTCACGATTTCTGTTTCATGTATATCGCAAAACTTGAAGCTTCCTTCATCATGAACTTTGTTGCTTATCTGGTTTTCTTTGTTTTTAATGACATGTCTATTGTTCCTTTGAAGACACTGGTGATACTGTAAACAGGAGGTACATAAATGTTTATGACATGTTTTGCAGTAACAATGAGCGTAAACTTCCGTGCCGTCACATTCACATATCTGACAAAGTGAGATATCTGTATATCTTTTAACACTGCTAGTTTGTGATCCACTCCTAGTCATCTCCAGCTCACATAGTTTAATATCTGTATCACTCTTAACACTACTTTTTAATGATCGACGCCCAGTTACCTCCTGGTCACGTAGCGGAATGTCTGTATTGCATTTAACACTACTTTTTTGTGATCGACGACCAGTCACCTCCATTCTGTTGCTTAAAATTACAATAAATGGCCTGTTTTAGTCATAAAGTAGTTTCATGTTAATGCCTTGAACTATATTTATAATGAGCCTGACCCATCCCACTCTAGGGATAATTAGTTAATCATTCCACAAACCACAAGTCATGAATAACTATTTGAGATAAGGAAATTATTTGTAAAAATTCAACATTTTCAAGATCTTGTAAAAAGATCTCTTAACAGTCTGGTAGTGATGTGTCTTTATTTTCCTGAAATAAGAAAATTGGGTTTTTAACTCATATCAGTTTGCAGTGAATGAAATATAAGAACAGAAGGAAAATAAAAATGCGGAAAGTTTTTTAAATACTTACTGTTACAATACTCTTAGGATTCATTCTCATTTTCAACAATTAAATTTAGTGCCGAGGGGATTAATTCATTCTTTTCCTTTCTATGTTACAATGCACCTTGCAATTGAATTGAAAATAAAATTAATTGTTTAGCTATGCAGCATTTACAATTGTTTGGCATTTGATTTCAAAATTTCCCCTTTTTTCATATTAACCATACTATATTTACCCTTTAAGAAAGCCACATGCTGTTTTGAGAAAATGAAATCATTGAAGACATGTGTCCCTGCAAGCAATACGTGTACATGTATGTTAGGTAATATGGTACACCTGGGGTAACAAACAGCATTTCTGTAAACTTTTTTTATCACTTTCTCTCCTAAAAGATTAGATTTTCTATCGTTATTGACAAAGTTTAAATGCTGTATAAAACCATACAATTATGTAATTTGTCTTATGTTTGTACTAGGAATGGACCAGATAGTTTATCGTGGGCAAGTGCACAGATACATTGTCAATGTTCAGTGAGTGAGAGCCGTGTATATCTGCCACGTACAGATCAGCTTACAGCAGAAGATGTTTCCTCTTCAGGTTGGTATAAAACATAAATATCACTTTGAAATACTGGTACTGTTTAACCTCCATCTTGCATATCAGACAGGATTATCTACTGTTTACAACGGTGCTAGAAAAAACCTGTCTTACAACCCCCATGTAACTTAAGACAAGTCGCATGCTTAAGCTTTAAATGATATAATTCCTGCGGGCCTTTTATGAATTAATTGTGCTTCTATGATAACATCAGTTTGCCATTATGAATAATGTTGTAATTTCATACTCTACTGTAAGGAAAAAGTGCTAAATAAAAATACTAGTTTTCTGAATTTCTTTCCTAAATATGATTAATATTTAAAATGAAAAGAAAAATCAAACACCGGCTGTTGTAACAGACACCGGCTATTGTAACAGATTGGGATATCTAGCTCTCAGGTAACTGTATAGCGGAATTTCGGCAGAGCTTCATTACTACCGTAAACAGTTACCCTCAAATCAATATCCCGGTATGTACCGGCAGCTGGTGTAAGACCTTAATAGTATGGAACAAGAAGCACTCATTTTTGTGTAAAAAAAGTGATTTAAAAGAATGGAAGAAATATTTCCTACAACATTTGAGTGCAACAATCAAATTGTTTCCCAATAAACACAAATGAATGTTAACCTTTTTTGTTAAAGATGAGCATTATTTTCAGTCTTAAAGGTTCAGGTTTTGAAATACAGCCAAACCTTTGTTAAAGTCTACCTGTGATTCAAGACTGCTTATAGAAACTTTTTCATCAAATGCCACAATATGATTGATAATTTTTTTTATGCAAATAATTGTGAAAAAAGACTTAGTTTTTTGAAGCCCATGTATTTGTATTTTAAACATAAGTCTCGTGTCATTTTTATAAGGCTAGCCTAAAATTACAAACACAAAATTACAAACAAAAAAAGAATTCAGTAATGTTAAATGTTCATTAAAGCTGCATGCCTCCAGATGAGTTAAAATATTTCAATAAAATCAAACTTTAGAAATATGTACTAAGATTTTAGGAAAAGTAAAATGATTCAAGATTCAAGTAATATTTTACATGTAATGTGCGTTTAATGACTGATTTTTCGGTATTTACAAGTATATTTCTACTGCGTTACTAACACAGTAAGGGCTATTTATGCATATTTTAACCACTTTTTGATAATTTACGTGGGTTGTAAGTGCCATTGATAATGTGTAAATTGCTTCCTTTTGGTTATTTCACAATATTATACATTCAAATACATTTTCAAAATTTTCATAAAAATTAGCATGAATCTGGAGGCGTGCTGCTTTTAAGAGCCAGGGGAAGTTTATTTACAAAGTTGTATAAGTACAGGAAGAGAATACACAACTAGGTACTTATTGATAATGTTTCTGTTATTAATAGAATTTATATATTTGGGATTTACTCTTACAATTCCCAGTAAAACCACATTAACATCATCTTATTTACATAGTCTGACTAGGATTTACTCTTGTGGTAAACCAAACTGGAATACCGTAGTTTCCTTGTGATATATTTGAAATTAATTTCTGTTATGGAAAATATCTTTAAAGCCATGATGAAATGCTTGAATAATCCTAAAACCAAGATGAAATGCTGAGAATTATTTCCTTATGCTACTAAAAATACAGTATTGTTAAAAACAAAATACCATTAATGCCAACAAATCATAATTTATAAATAATCAGATGCTAAAATTATTTTAATGTGATATTTATCTGAGCCACGCCTTGACAAAACCAACATAATCGGTTTGCGACCAGCATGGATCCTGACCAGCCTGTGCATGCTGTTCGCTATCAGTTTCTCTACTTGTTATAGTTTCTTAGGACACAGCATGGATCCTGAGCAGATTGCACGGATGCGCAGGCTGGTCTGGACCTATGCTGGTCGCAAACACATTATGTTGGTTTTGTCATGGCCCGGCTCAATTCTTTTTCACCATTGAATCACCAGTCACTAGTCATTTTCATTAATTTTGTTTGTGGCTGTGTGGTTAAAGACATTGACTTCAAACCACTTGCCCCTCACTGCTGCGTGTTTGAATCCTGCCAGGGACTTTTGATTCTTTTCATATAAGGAAGCTACCCAGCTAGCTAAGGGAATGTAAGTGGTTCTCGTCAGGTGCCTGAAATAGTGCCCAGAGGAGCACCTGAGGCTTTCCTTCCCCCAGTAAAGCTGGAAAGTCCCCTATTACCTCTACTGTATCAGAGTGACATAAAAACAAACCAAACAAAACCATAATGTTATTAATTCCAGCAATATTCTGCAGCACAAAACTAGTTTCCTTTCAGTATTTTCTACTTAAGTGTCAAATTAAAATTGACTTTTGCTGTTCTTAAAAACTAAAGTAAACTTCACATGTAATTTTTTATCTGTGGCCAGTTGTGACAAAGACTGTACCAGCCTCTGGTTGTTTAAGGAATAATTTATATTTTCCAGTATTTCCCACATCACATTACTGGGAAATATGACTTATTTCCCCCTAAATGCCTGCCCTGATACAAGGGTTTATGATAATTGCATAGACAAGGTACGTAAAAAAGCAAAAAAAAACCAACATAATACATACATGTACATGATATTTATGTTAGTATGATCCTAGATTCAAGCCATATATGATACTATTCATTACAGCAATAAAGGAATTAACATAATACATGAAATGACAACAAACAAATTGTATTACTTTGAAATCATGTCAATGTCGAAAAACAAGGCCTTTAAAGAACTTTTGAAAAAACACTTAAAATTTGCTTCAGCAAATTTGTATGAACCATGTTAATCTCATACATGTATTTGGTACCCTCGATAGTTAGGTAATTGTTTCAGAGAATGATAAATGAGCCGCACCATGACAAAACCAGCATAGTGTGTTTGCGACCAGCATGGATCCAGATCAGCCTGCGCATCCGCACAGTCTGATCAGGATCCATGCTGTTCACTTACCAACCCTATTACAAGTAGAGAAACTACTAGCGAACAGCATGGATCCTGATCAGACTGCGCAGATGCGCAGGCTTGTCTGGTTCCATGCTGGTCGCAAACCCACTTTGTCGTGACGTGGCTCAATTATTGATGGCTTTTAATTTGGTAATCAATTTGGGTTATTTAGTAGGTGGAGATACATCATTTGTACCAAGTAAAGGGGAGCGCGGGATGACGGTGCTGACAACCAAGCCTAAAATCTTGTTCTGTGACATGAGGCTGGACCCTGGACAATCTAAAACATGTAAGTCTTAATTGTAATAGAAATAACCTGGAAGAAAAAAATTCCATGATATATCTATTATAAAGAAGGTATATTCGTGTTGGTTGAAAGGAGGACTGTCTCTTTTTTAAGAAAAATGTAAAGAAAAGGATGGTTTAAAGCAATATTTTGATTTCTTTCAATTGTGTTATGTGTTTAAAGAGAGATTTTCAAATATAAGTGTGATGGTAGATTTTCTGTTAACTTGTGGACATGTGATGCTATAAATGATTGGATGGTTTATAATTGAAACATCATTGGTTTCAATATAATAATGTTTTGTGATTGTTTTCTTTTTGAAATTGTACTGTACTAAAAAAGATATATTCTTATTATTGGAAATAACTTTTTTATATTTAAAACAAATTGATCCTAAATGAACAATGCAGTAAACAAGGTAAGCAATGAAATATTATGCTTAAAGCAAAAGTAACTATCAAAACTTTATTGGTTATCACAGATGGAAAATTAACATTTTTTAGATGTAAGTGGTAAAGACCATAAAAGAATGTTATCTTTTTTTTGCATTTTCTTACACACAAGTGGTAAAGACCCTAAAAAGTGTTATTACTCAGCATTTTCTTACACATAAGTGGTGAAGACTTAAAGAGTGATAGATTTTTAGCATTTTTTTTACACATGAGTGGTAAAGACTCTAAAAGAGTGATAGATTTTTAGCATTTTCTTACACATGAGTGGTAAAGACTCTAAAAGAGTGTTATTCTTTCAGCATTTTCTTACACATTTGTGATAAAGACTATAAAAGAGTGTAAATTGGTAACAGGAGTATATGACTGAATAACTATGAAAACAAGAGGTATTTTGTAACTAACACAGAACATCATTGTATATCTTTTGATAACTTATCATCGTTTTTATTGTGATTGCACAATTAGAATAAAACACCTCAGATGATTATCATTGTTTTTTTATTTTTTCAGTCACATATAGAGAGATGATTCCTACAGATGCCCCGCCCACATTCCGCGGTCAGGCTGTGAAATACTCGTACAAACTGACCCTCGGTACACAGAGAGTGAACCATCCCACAAAATTAATCAGGATTCCATTTAGAGTGCTAGTTTTACATGGTATGTAACTCCCAGTTAAATAATAACGATCATTTTTGTAGTTAATATATTTAATTGTTATGTAGTGAAATATTTGTTTACTTTACTTCCTTCATATACAGCATTAAACTACAGGTTTCAAATCCATCTCTGTTCTTTGTATAAATTTTTGGCAATATATAACTTTTGGAACTTTAATTTTTAATTTTATTTTGTATAAATCATTGACTCAACATTATGTTTTTGTTAATCCAGACCATATTGTATGGATAAACAGGCAGGCCTGGCTCTATACTGGTGGGATTAATGTCTAATGATTTTTTTTTCCAGCAGGGATAAAAGCTTATAGATCTTTACAAGTTTGGATAAATTTTAAGTGTTTTTTTTAGCTTTTAATATTGTCTTAGTCACATACTCCAGACTTACATTTGCATAGAATTTTACTCTCATGATACCTTAAACATTATTTTTTTGGAACATTTTTTGTTACTATTGGATAATCAAATGTAAAATTTGAAATGAATGTAGTGTTGTTTTTTTTCACCAAAATGGTTTATTATGACACACAGTAAACTTATATTTTTTGGTGTTTCTTGCTTTGTTGTTAGTTGTTTGACTATGTAGTTTGATTTACTCTTTGATTTATATTTATTTTGTTTGAATATTTTCAGCACCAGGTAAACGTTTAATTTTATATAAAAATGCATATGAAAGATTAATAGCAACACTGTCATATGGTTATAGAGTATATGGTTGCCATGGTTTGTCCTTCTCTCCATCGTTTTCCTTCTGACCTTTGCCCTCTGTACTTTGGAAATACTTACTTAGAACATTCATTTATTGACTGACATCCAAGCGATTTGGTGTTTTTGGATTCCTTGCTAGATCTATTACCTTCTGTGCTGTGCTTTTCTAGGTCAACTAGGTCAAGGCCATTGAGGTTAAAAATAGATTTACGAACTTTTCATCAGAGTAAGTCAAGGTGTTAAGCTTTGTCAGAGTGCACACCGTATTACCGGCGTCAGTGGTGGCAGATTGTTGTTGTGATGACAGAAATCTAAAATTTACTGATTACTACCGGCAAGGCAAATGGGAAAATGTCAGTCCAGAAATACCCGATACATTCGATAGTATCTTCAGTCAAGGGACATTAAGATTATACCAATGAAAGTGTCCTAAGTATTTGCTTAATATAAATAAATCAACCAAATTTATTACCTAACTGTAGTAATCAGGAATTTTAGATTTCTGTCATCACTGCAGCAATCTGCCATCACTGGTGACACTTATACAGTGTGATTTGGAAGCATTCAATACTGTTACAAATACACATGTACATCTGTTAAACTTCTTGATTTACAACAGTGTTGCTATTAATCCACATGAATATAGGTGTAAGGCATGATCGTTTGATACAAGTACACAAGTTTTAAATGGTACCAATAATCTAAAGTGTACAATGATTATTACTTAATGTATTGGTATAATTTGTTGCCAGACTCTGTACTCACATGTCCTATTTCTCCATTGGTTTGAAACCCATGTTTGGCTTTGGAATTTTTAATCAATCCCTGTGTATGGAAATAATTGTATTTCATCTCGCAGTATTAAAGGTCATTAAATGATTGACTTTACAAAATGTGGACAGATATTTAAAATAATTTATATCTTTTTTTTTCTTTTGTTTCTTTTTAATTATATTTTGTTATGATTGGTTGTAGGTTTTGTTTATTATTTCAGTTTGCTTGTTTGTTAGATATTTTGCATTTTTGTTGTAATGTATTATCATGGAAATTTATGAATTAACTGCTGTCTTCATATTTATGAAATTTTGGTTTTCTTGATTTTATTTGAAATGTCTTTACTCCAGAACATTCCTTATTTTTATTGACCAATAAAAGCTTGTCTGCAATGAGATCATACATACATATATAGCATTTTGATTGGTTGATACTTGAATTGACACACTTTAAATTAACCAATCAAATTTTACCATAATCACATTGGAGACTTCCTTCTGTTTTATAAAAGCCTGGATATACATGTACAAAAGATAACTAAGTTGAAGACAAGGTGCTTTTGATTGGTCTGTTTCAAGAATGACTTGAAAAATCATCTAATCAGAATTCAGATTCTTTTATTAGTTTAATATGTGCATTACACTTTGAAAATTTTGCATATGAAATGACTGTTGTTTTTTTGAGGAGCATGGATAGGGCTTATGCTATTGGATTTCTTTTATTTATTTGTGGTCAGTTATGAAAAACTAAATTATAAAATGGGTATCTTTGTAAATAAATTATTCAGGTATTCATATTTTTCCTTATATTTTTGACAGTGTTTTCTGCAAGTAAGTGTTGGGTAAAAAACTTGGGATATGTATAGTTATTAGTTGGGAGATCCTTCTTTAATTACATTTTAATTGAAAAAATCCTGTAACTTTTTTATTATTAAATTATTTTGTGTTTTCTTTTTTTTTTGCTAGACCTGGTTAGATTTCTGTAAATATAACACAAAAATTTCAACAATGAATCAAGAAAATCCCAAATAAAAATGAAATCTTATTTCATAGGTAAATTATGAATTATACATTTAAACAACAAGGACTATTTTGATGAAAATAAGCACTTGTCAACAAACTTGAATATGTATTATCAATAGCAACAACAATTATGAAAATGAATTATGAGTTTAAATATTGACCAAGTATCAGCAGCATTGTTATAAGGTGGTTTGATCTTTGACAAACTTTTGACTTTTAAGAACTAAAATTTGCCATTGCCCCCAGTATAGAGCCAGGCCATCTTTATACTGTTGGCTGACTGACTCATTTTCATTTTGATATCCCCAAAAAATGGTACTGGGCAGTTAAAGATATACTATGCTCATCTTTTGGTAAAATATTTATTTTTTAGAAATGTATTGAAATCCATGAAATTCTTACTGAATATGTTAAATTTGAATAAAATAATGAATAAACTATGTATAGGAAGCTGCATTTTTTATTACGGGTCAAGTAAAATTGGTCTCTTCTTAAAAAACTGCCAGTTTTTTTTAATGACACTATATATTCATATTGAGACCACCTATAGTGTGAAGAGTTCAAAACATAACATATCTACTTTAAATGAAGTCGAAACATGTTTATTTTATAGATACAAAGAGACTGTGTAGCATTTATCAATATTTTCAAAAATCAAATTTGAGCATAGTATATCTTTAAAAAAAAGAAAGGAAAACTGAACAAGTCAGTGTCACACAGATCCAGCAGGTTAATGTGAGGCCAAGTTGCAAATCTGAATTGCTTTGTCAGATTATATTATGTTAACAGCTCAGTTCGACAATCTTAGCTAATTACCTGCATGAATGTAACAAAAGATGGTTCTAAATTCCAAAAAAAGAAAAAAAGGAATACATGTATGCTTTATTAATGGGGAATTATCTATTTATTCATGGGGAACAAGAGTGAAGAACAAATAGATGTATTTATAGGAAAAGCAGAAAAAGTGGAGAGACAAAAAAACAAATGTTTTATGTTTATTGTACCTGTACATAATCATACATTCATTATAATTTTATTATTTTGGAACTATATAATGAATTTGGGAGTGCCTGGGAATATTTTTTCATGTTTTTTAATCCATAACAGTCCTGAATATCTTTGAATATGAGAATTAAGTGTTGATTTCTTTTTTAGACTTTAAATGTAATATACCATTTTTCTAGTATGATCCTGGATAAGTCAGATTAATTTTCTATTTAATTATGAGTTGCATGTTTACTCTTTTTTTGCAATATTTTTTTTATTGTGGTTTAGAAAGAAATTAATCATAAGCAGGGAAGTGTTTGCCAAATTGTTTGTCACTGGTGATTGAGAAATCATTTGAGAGTCTGAGTGTCGATGCTGAGAAAATGGTATTTACTGGTTAGTTATCCAGGAAAGCCGGTTAGGTGAACCACATGACCAGATATGACCAAAAAAGTATTGAAATTAGTATAAAAACAAGACAAACAATATCAAACAAACCTTATGATTGTTTCTTCATTTTGTATCAGAACTAAATCATTTACAGCAAATAACAGCCAAAATCTTAACATTTGGGGGAGACAATTAAAATAGTTTATATTTGTTTATTTATTATTTTAAAAAAGAATTTAGTCATACATACACAGTACCGATAGTAAATATTTAAAGTTTAAACATGATTTTGTACCTCTTCAATTTAATATCATTTATAATCTTTTTAAGCTGGGAATTAGACAGAATGTCTTTATTCATAAACATGCTATTAATAAATTGTTGAAGCTATAACAGTTTTGGCCATTATGACTTACATTAATTATGTTTGTATGAATTTCTTTTGTGTGTTTTGTTTATTTGATAATTAGTAGTCTTGAAGTATTGCTTGAATATTCGTATGTTTGAAGATTCATTTATATCAAGCATGTTGTAAGATACTGATTCCCCGTGATCTGATACTAACCAACATCACAGTTTGGTTTAGTTTTTTGTGTGCAAGTTGGTATCGCAAAAACTACTGAATGAATGGGTTGAAACTTCATACTTATTTGAAACTGTAATAGGAGCCCATAACTCTAACCTGAATTTGAGACAATTATGGCCCTTTTTGAAATTAGAAAATTGTACATGATCAAGGCTCTTGTGTTACTTCAAGCATTGAGAATAGTTGAGTATGCTGTCCTACCAACAGCTCGTGTAACAGAAAATTGTCATAAAGATACACAAATGAAATCTTTGTTTAGCCACTTATGATAGTACGTCATGTAGGTTTTTATTAAATTAAATATTTTTAATCACAATTTAAATGTTGAAAATACATTTGTTTGATAGTACTTCATGTTATTTGAGATTGGAGACCAGTCTCAATCTCTGTCTTCTGATTGGATGAATTTGATCATGTGTTTGAAATGGTCCAATGAAAAATGTCTGTATTAGACTGGTCACCAAAGTCTGTTTTGTAACATTTATTTGTTGTCTTTATTTAGTATAGAGACAACTATCTTTTGGATTTGCAAAGTGCATATGTTATCAGAGGGTCCTTTCTAAGTGGTATATTCTAGGTAGATTCTATTTGGAATTATGTGATAATTTCTAATTGTGTTCAATAATAAATCCATGTATTAAGTTGAATCTAGTTATTATTATTATTATTTTTGCTTTCTTTCCAGGAATGAATGATATAAGTGTTTACTTAGACTCGGAGGAAGTACAGCCATCAAATCCATTCCTGAAACCAAGACAAGAGAATTCTGTCCTTGATATAGCGCTAGGAATTCTGGGTACTGTTACAGCAAGAAATGGGCCACGTATGTAACCTATATGTACCATATTTTTATCATAATTTATGTTATAATAGTATAGCTAGATGATCGATGTTTTTGTTGGTTTAATATTTTTTCTTTTGACAAATTAACTTTCCTAGAATGACCAACCACTAACAGTTTATTCTTTACTATCATGAAACATTTCAGAGGGCAAATCGTCACCTAACTGCAATATTTGGTTAAATCCTAATATAATTTAATAGATATACCCCGTTTCTGCACTAAGTTGAAAAATTATATGCCTTCAAATCAAGTACATAAAATTTTGAGAAAAAAACAACGCTAGATATGTGAGAAAGAAGGCTAGATATGTAAAAGAAAGCTAACCTTTAAGCAATGGAGTGGTTAGTTTCCAACCTAATTTCATTCCTGTTACATTCTGGCACTGATTATGGCTGGTTTTTTGAAGGATTATATAGAGTTCGGAAGATTTCACTTTTGTGTAGATATAGTGACAGTTTTATGCTCAGTTTTAATGTTGAATTTCAATGAATTAATAGTCGGCAGTTCTAAATGCTATTTCACAAGTGCAAATACTTAAATTTCAGTATGGCGGTAGAATTATTACAGGTCGACGACTTATGTGACTTTGTATTTCAGATTCATATAACATTACAAACAGCCGGGGTAAAGTTGCAAAGTGTATCATGTATAAACAGGCATATAAACTAGGGGAGGACATTATTGGTGTGATGGATTTCTCAGATACCAGTGTTAATTGTGTTCAGGTAATGATTGTATAGTTCTCTAGACTATTAACATTAAGTTATCACTTGTTTTGCCATGTCACACTCGGCTGATTTATAATTATTATTCTTTAAAGAAGTCAGTACAACCATGTTTCTTTATGTATGTACTACTAGAGTAATTCAGCAGTGTAATTTAGACATGATTTATATGAGTTGTAAACATAAGTAGATATATTTAAAGTTAATGGTCAGTCACAGAGGCTTTATTAAAGTCATTGCTTCACTTGCAGTCTAGTTCTCTATTAGCGGGATACAAGATGTTGAAAAATTTTGCTTAGAAGTTAAATTAGTTACTTTTACCATGGTACTGTATAGCGTAAAGTTATAATACATTGTATGTGAAATGAAAATTTTTTGTTTTGCAGTATTCTGTAACTTTACAAAGTGAAGAAAATATATCGGAAGAGTGCCGGAAAAAATCTAGTCAAGGGAGTTCACTCACGTCTTATGTACGACATCAAGAAATGTGTTTACACACGGCTAAGTCTAACTTCATGATACCAGTACCACTAACAGCCACACCCTCTTTTATGACAGATATTGGTAAGTGTTAGAAAAATATATTAATGTTGATCCAGCAGAATTTATATAATTGAGTTGCGCCATGACAAAACCAACATAATGCGTTTGCGACCACCATGGATCCAGACCAGCCTGCGCATCTGCGCAGTCTGATCAGGATCCATGCTGTTTGCTTACCAACCCTATTACAAGTAGAGAAACTGATAGCGAACAGCATGGATCCTTATCAGACTGCGCGAATGCGCAGGCTGGTCTGGATCCATGCTGATCGCAAACGCATTATGTTGGTCTTGTTGTGACGCGGCTCATATTAATGTTGATCCAGCAGAATTTATATAATGGATTTTTCCTCTGTTGCAAACTTCCATTGAGCTACCAATAGTATAGAGTCTTGTCAGACTGTATGGGTGTGCAGGATGGTTTGGCTCTATACTGGTGGCAAAGACTGGTTTCAAGCAAGCTAAAGGTTAAGCCTTTTGAATGCTAGTGATGATTATTGCATTGTAATGTAAAAGGTGTTTCTGTCCTTATGATAAATAGATAACTTTTTAGTCTTCTTGGATTCTGTCTTATCTTACATTCAATTAAGAAAATTTTCTATATATAAATCACTGAGGTGAATTGTTAATCCCACCTGATTTTCTAGATCAATAGTAAGAGAAAAATGACCAAAAGACTCTATGTCTATTTTATAAACAAGGTATGTTTTCATAATAAATAAATTACGGAAAATTTTAAGATCATTAACAGAATAATAATATATGTCATATGTTGTGGTTCAAATCAGAATATCCTTCCCGCGGGGACCCGCCCATGGATTGGTTCCCAAGGGACGAATATCCAGAACCGAACAGCAAACATGTCAGATATTTTTTCTTGCATATTCTACCATATTCCATCTTATTTTAAATTCTTTACCTTAATAAAACATTTTTCCATGGATATTAATGTCATGACACCTGTTATTATTTTCTCACAACAGTGTATGAAATTACATTTCCATTCAAAAAGGCAAAAATACGTCATCCTAAGCATACCATTGTATAGCACATGACTCATTTGGCAACCCTCATGCCAGATGAAATTTCCGGCAAGGGTAAAACTAACGGAACCAAGAGTCTATTATACAAGAATTGTTATTCTGTGACACATAACTGATGTAACTGATAGCATTGTTTAACATTTCTTATTTCAGTATGTCAACGTTGGAGGTTACATTTCGAGTTTGTCACTTCGGTTGAACCTATTAAAGGGGAGATACGTAAAAACGATTCTGACGATAGTACAACATGGCGGGGTCCAGCTACACTAAAAGTTGAAACAATGGTATGGGACCTACCAATAAAGATGTTTGCATCTAACCCCGTGTACGCCTCCAGTGTGTCATTGTTGAAAATACGTCATTCACTCACTATCTGAGAAGTGTTAATTATTGAAATCTATCTTTATTTTAAAGGATAGAATTCATGGTTTGATATATTTGGGGGCAATAAAATTGAATAACTCTTAAAGTGAAGAGGTGAAAGTGATGATATTTTTGATGTACTAGAGTGATTAACCAGTGTAAGATTTTATTTTGGGCTTTCAGATTAAAAACTTACCTTTAACAAAGAGGTTAGTAAAACATGAACATATTTGAGATATTTATACATGTAAAGAGAAAAAAGTTTTATAAGAATGTGTGAGTATATCAGTAAGTGAAGTGATAGAACTGATTTGTAACATAGATTAAGGCTTTAAGTAAATGGAAATGTTTTCTAGGGCTGTGGTGATTCCTAGCTGTATGTTTTTTATCAAATATTAAATTTTGTATATTTGATTTATTTGATATATCACAGATAAGAATTCAGCTTTGCAGGAAATTAAGCATGTTATCTTTTAGTGGTCCAATATATAAGTACATTGTATGAGAATATCAGATTATTAGCTCACCTGATATGGGTATTCCCTTTATTGTACATAGTGAACAATTAGAAAATCTTCTCTTAAAGGGCATAGGTTTATAGTCCTAAAATTTGGTGTGGAGGTTAGTTATGACTAGTAGATGACCACTATTGATTTTGGGGTGAGGCAAGATCACTGTTGCCTTGACCACTAAAACTTTGTCCAACTCATAACTTTAGAGAGTGTTATAGCATTCTGCCTTCAGAGGAGCTCTTCACCTTGTTTTATCACACAAGAATTATATGTACAGGCAGAGCTATTTTAAAGTAGAAAATTGTCAATAATCCTACAAATATGCTTTATATGTAGAAGAAATTTTGCAAACTGGACATTTATTGTCCATCATATTTATTTATTTACTTGGTAAACGAAGGAGACCTCCAATTCCTTATTTCACTGTAAGTATATTTTGAGTAAATATATTTACTCTTCCAAAAACTAACATCCTGACTGTTGATCAGATACTGTAGATTAAATTAAAGACACCAAGTGATTGTAAATCATTATATTGTGATTTTAATGTAACCAGGCACAGTTTAAATAAGCTATGACTTAAGAAATATTCAGAGTATAAAATAGATCAACTTGTATTACATATAAAATATATACATGCATATCCTATGTGATATTAGTTAAACCATGGTTGGCTCCAACTACCAATCTCTCCGACAAATTTGCACAGGCCATCTGAGTTTGAACATACAGAGTTTGACTGTATTATGATTTAATTTATGGTAAATGAGGTCAATTCATCGTAACAAAATTCTTTGTTACATTAATATAAATTGGTCTCTATTGCCGATACCATATTATAACTAATTTATAATATGTGAAGTAACATGCCTATAATAACGAGGTTTCTGTTTTGTTTTGTTTGCTGATTATAGAAAGTGCAATGTTGATAATAATTATATGTTTATATATATGAATAAACATGTTTTAACCCTTTAAAAAATACTCTGCTAAAATAAAAGTGATTAGCTTAAGCCACCAGTATAGGGCCAGGCCAGTCTGTATATTTTATTTGCAGTCTGACTAGATTTTATACTGTAAGCTTACTAACTTTGTATTTTCATCCTGATATCCCCAAAACTGATGATGGACAGTTCCAAAAATTGTAGATGGACAAGTCCATTTATGAAATTTTGCAAGTTAAAGAGCTAAGCTTGTTGACAGGAGATACATTGAAACACTGATGTACTTTATGTTCCATGAAACAGTTGTGAGTGTTACTAGTTTGACATTGATAGCAAATTTTGAAATGAATTTATAATGATTGTATATTTTACTATGTTATGATGTAAGTGCTTACATTGTAATAATTATTGAAGTCTTAGTTGTTAATGTTTCATGTCCTGTACTGTGTATTTAAATTACATTTTTATGAATTTTGGGGGTAATCAAAAAATGTGTCCCTGACCAGTTGTTTACAGATTCTGACAAGGCGAAAACAGATTTAGCTGCCTTACATCACACAGAATTTTCCTGTAATAATTCATTTAGATTGTTAAGTAAATCTGGAGTATTACATTATTTCAAATGCAAGACTGCGTTCTGTTTGTAATGTTTTGATGAGATTTCAGCCATTTATATGGTAGAAATTACAGAAATGTGCGCTGATATTATTAAAAAGTCTTCTAAAAGCAGCCCAAAATTTATCACTTGGTAAAAATAAGTGTAAGTATTTTATACTTAAATTGTCAGAATAAAATACCTATTGTTTTGTTGTTATTTTCTGTTTAACATAGGTTTTTCTGCAGTAAAGAATTTTTCATCTTGATAAAATTCACTTTAAAGTATTTTAAAGTTATGTAACATTTACCTAGTACTGGGGTTTATAAGTTCAAGGGAAGTAACTCCTATTTAGTGTTTTTAATGATTTTGTTGGTTATCTTTCTTACGGACCTGCATGAAATATGAAAAAGATTGCTCTACTCTTTTTATCAAGTGACAATTACTAATAAATTACTAAGGCTGTTTATAAAAATTGCCATGGGTCAGAGAAGTTTTCAGTTATTTTTGTGAAAGAAAATATAGAATTGAAAACAATATAGCAAAATATAAAGTTATTTTGACTTGAACCAGTATTCTTGCCATTTACATTTGGATGGGCCTGAAGTCACACATACAGTGGTTCTGTAGCTTCACTGCTGGTTAGTGTATCTATAGTCAGCTGTATATCTGTTGCCTGTAGTTTGCAAAATTATTGTTCAAATTTTGAAAAAGTATAATTCCAAAATACCTGTATTTAAAGCATATGTTTATAGGAACGATGCGGAGGTTGGACTGTGCTCTGGTGAATTCAATGTGGCTTACTGCCGTGATCCGGAGTAAAAACTACACTATTCATGTTTGTTATATAAAAGAGACAATAATTGTTAAGAAAAGAAAGTCTGTCCAGAATCGACAATAACATTAAAGACAACAATTTTACACATAAATTTTACAAAAATATTACATTGCATGTAATTTTATTCCTATTAACCCTCAATACCATCCTTATTATATTTAAAGAACATGCCCATCTGTCTATCTGGACAAAACCATATATCATTTTTAGAGAAAAATTTGACATATGACATACTTGTTTGTCTGAAAGACACAGGTGCCTCCTATATTTATGTTTGGACACAGAATAATGTGAATAAAGATGTTATGACAGTACAACATAGTTGTTATTTCATCAACTTTTTGCAATTAAAGAGGACAAATAGCTTCAAAAATTGCTTCAGAATTCCTTGATGCATGACAGTCATGGCCTGAAAATGATTTTCTAACTGCTGACCTTTGATCTCTGAGTGTGACCTTGACCTTAGAACTAGGGGTCATGATCTTGTGCATGACTCACACACTCATTGTGTTAAACATTTGTGCCAAGATTACTTCAAAATTCCTTTATGTATAACAGAGTTATGGACCAAACAAGGTTTTCCAACACAATTGCACTGACAGATGGACAGACAGGGTAACACTACATGCCCTAGGAGCATAAAAGGACAAAAAAACCTTGCAGTTTGAGCACTGTTGATTGTTGAGAATGTTGGCTGTTTAATTTTTATGTTGAAATCCCATTACAAGTTGTTTTTTTTTCAATAAGACTGATTCTGTTTAATTCACAGCATGTGCACTTATTGACATCAGGGTTTAAGGTCAACATGGTAACAATCCACTTAGCTAATACGGTATCAAATGGCTTTTAAAGTGGAAGCTGGCAGTGTAACCCTTGACAACACATTTCTATGTTGCATCAGATATAAGGTATGCTGTTACATAAATGGCACAAATAATTATCCTTAAAATACTCTCTTTAAAGTGGAGTCTGGGAAGGAAGTGAATCCTTAAAGAAACCTCTTGAACTGTTGCAATATTCAATCAGGGTTGCATCAGTCTTAAACATCCGCAAAAAACTGAACAAACTGACGGTTTGCATAGAACTTAAAAAGCTTCATGTTGTGAGACGTACTTTTATCATTATAACTAAGTCATGATTGCTTGAGACTAAAATACAAGTATATCTAGTTAAAGGGACTCCACTGAGGTTTAAAAACCTAAAACATAACATTTAAATTTCTTACATAAATGAGCTGGGGCACTTTAAACAGAAATATATGCAAAGATAGTTAAGAAATGTACTTTGAAATAAATTGCAAAATTGTATTTTTATGCGTTTCTTAGCCCAATTTCATTTTGGATCGTTTTTTTACAATTCTAGAAAAATGAAGTGCGGGAATGATCTGAATATGTTGCTAAAAGATTAGTGTACATTTATCTGGAAAAAATATTTTCAGTCCCATCATGTCATAAAAACCTCAGTGGAGTCCCTTTAAACTATACATCATGTACACGAAGGTAGGTAAATATTGGCCTTACAAACAACTGACATGTGTATATACAAATGTATATATATAACACTGACCTATTTATTACAGGACTGAACTCTATGTACTATTTCACACTAATATTTTCATGCTACAATCATGCCTTTGTCATTATAGGAGAATAAACATGATCATGTTGCGTGACTCTAAAAGACAAGCCAGAGGTTTTCCCCGCCACAACTTATAATAAATATGTCCTAGATTATTAACTCTATACAACTCTACCAACAACCTTGGCACAATTCCACTTTACCATTATAACCAAGTTCCTTTGTGACTTTAAACACATTTTTTTTCATACAATTTTCGTAACCTTAAATATCAAATATGACAAATTTAATTGTTTATGGTATTTTATTTATTAAAGTTAAAGTAATTCACAATGCAAATCTTGATGTACTTTTGAACCAAAGTATTCATGCTTTAACCATTTAATGATACAAATCTAAAAAAATAAATTCTGCAAATATTTCATCTCTTGTTAACCTCATAATATACCCTCGGATGGATCATTATGTCATTTAAAGTAAAAAAGGATTATGCTCGGGTTTTTTTTTTGATCCACAAGAAAATATACAAATGTCAAAAATATGTGGATCATTGAGTCAGGCCATTCCTCACTGGTTTGTTTGGGGTTTTTTTCTGTTGTATTTCTTTACTTATTCTTAAAATTAACCAATGTTTTTCATACTGACATAATGGCCTGAAATAATGATAATTACATAAAATCATTATAAGCAGAATAAACAACAGAAACCAATGTCTGATTTCAATTTTTTTTATTCTTTTTAAAC